CATTTAGATTTGTTCGTAATAATATAAATGAATAATATAATATTAAAATATAAATACAATTTTTTAAATACACTGAATTATCGAAAGCGTACACATTTTTGAACGATTACAATTGAATTTTTTTATTATTATTATTATTAGCTAGTAAACAAGTAAAACTACAAATTCTGAGCAATTACACTTTTAAGCAGTGTATTGGTAGTTAATTAGTATGCTACACTCTAAGAAAAGTCTGTAAAAAAAAATGCACAATCTACTATGTTAATATGAAGGAATTTTCTGTATTGATTTTTCCACAGGTTCGTTTTTACCTGCATTTTTTTATTACGCATTTTCGGGTTACAACGGATAATGTCCTGGAAAATTACTAGCACCTTTTCCATTTTTCTACATATTTTTCTTACAGTGTCCTAACAGTTAGTGGCGAAAAAATGGAAAAACAACCTACGATTGTTGATGAGTTAGTAACTAACTCATCAACAATCGCAGGTACAAGCTACTAACAAAGTGTCTCATAAATGAACAACAACAGTACTCAATTATGAAATTATTATTATTACTATTAAATTAAACTATTGCAAATAGCAGCTTACTTAATTCCTGTGATGTGTGTACTGCTAAGCATCTTTGGATTTTCTCTTTTTGTGTAATTGAAATGGTAAATTGTGCCTTTTTATTGTTTGAGTCACTTATCAAAAGATGCTAATCATATTTTTTGCAGTCTAACAGTATATGTTTCACTGTCTCTTGTACATTACAATAAGTGCATAATCCAGTGGGATGTTTTCCTACTCTGTGCAATGTTGTCTTTAAACCAGTGTGCCCCATTCTAAGACGTGAGACTAACATCTCCTCCCTTGGGCTTCTGCCCTTCCTCATGCTTGTGACTACTTGATTTTGTATACTGTATAAATGACGTCCTGTATCATGTTCCAATATTCCTGCCATATTTTAAGTGAATGTTGCTTTATGATGGTTTTGACCTCTGCTCTACTTATTGGTACGTGTACATCTACTGTTTCATGCTTTGTAGAGTTTTTTGCTAGCATATCCACAACTTCATTTCCTTCCACCCCTACATGGGCAGGAACCCAAAGGAAGGAGACAGCCATTCCCTTATTATGAAGTGTGAGAAGCAAGTGGAGTATTTGATATATGAGGTCTTGTCTACATGACGCTCTTCCAGATTGAATGCTTAATAATGCTGATATAGAGGCTATAACGACACCTTGATTCTGATTATTTTCTTCCACCCACCCTAATGCCAATTGTCAAATCTCAGCAAAAACATGTATTTTTATATGTTCATTTAGATTTGTTCGTAATAATATAAATGAATAATATAATATTAAAATATAAATACAATTTTTTAAATACACTGAATTATCGAAAGCGTACACATTTTTGAACGATTACAATTGAATTTTTTTATTATTATTATTATTAGCTAGTAAACAAGTAAAACTACAAATTCTGAGCAATTACACTTTTAAGCAGTGTATTGGTAGTTAATTAGTATGCTACACTCTAAGAAAAGTCTGTAAAAAAAAATGCACAATCTACTATGTTAATATGAAGGAATTTTCTGTATTGATTTTTCCACAGGTTCGTTTTTACCTGCATTTTTTTATTACGCATTTTCGGGTTACAACGGATAATGTCCTGGAAAATTACTAGCACCTTTTCCATTTTTCTACATATTTTTCTTACAGTGTCCTAACAGTTAGTGGCGAAAAAATGGAAAAACAACCTACGATTGTTGATGAGTTAGTAACTAACTCATCAACAATCGCAGGTACAAGCTAATAACAAAGTGTCTCATAAATGAACAACAACAGTACTCAATTATGAAATTATTATTATTACTATTAAATTAAACTATTGCAAATGGCAGCTTACTTAATTCCTGTGATGTGTGTACTGCTAAGCATCTTTGGATTTTCTCTTTTTGTGTAATTGAAATGGTAAATTGTGCCTTTTTATTGTTTGAGTCACTTATCAAAAGATGCTAAAAGTTGCCAAATTAAGTTGGCAACACTGACCACAAACAATCTCATCCGTGTAGGACAAAATCATGTTATCGTGGTTCCTGCAACTGCTGTTACGTTCTGTGCCGAGGCTTCGGAGCAGGAAGCGGTCCGAATCTAGTAAATCCACAGTCCTCTGCCCTGTTAAACTCAGCCACTTTCCACTATTAGACTAATAATATTGACCCTCCTGCCTATTATGAGCAAATACTTGATTTACACACATTTGATAGCCCCATTCATTTCAAGCCAATACGTTTATTACACAGCTATGTTATGTTATACAATCATTTATATACCACGAGCAAATACACATTATATTCATATAAACAGATTAGTCTATGTGGAATTTTTTTTTTTTTCTTCACCGTTATTTCTAAGCCTTAACTGGCGCAAAATACAGTGTATCACAGACCACATCAGGTCATCTGTAATGTAGCAAATGAAGCCTCGAGAAATGAACCCTTTTGTGAACCACTTGGCTGAAAGGCTTCAATGCATTATGAGGCTTCATCTCGCCATGACTAGTTCCTACTACTAGGCTAAATGGCATCTGCTATCCCATCATTTAATGCACTACAGATCTTTGTATTAAAATAGGTGAATTAAGGGTGATTGGGACTTATGGTCGAATGGGACAGTATAGCTATACAGAATTAATTTTCTCACCTAGTGAGTGAAAATAAAACCTTTTTTTGTTAGACCACATAATTAAAACGGCATGCCCTCATTGGTATGACATCATGTAGGTGGCCGGGCAGGCATCAAACCGGAAGTTGACCATGAAATGCATGAGCTGAGGAAAATTACATAAGCTTTTGCTAGTTTTCATAATAAGGTCCTAAAATTGCCATAGCTACTATATTATACAAGCCTTTGATTAAATATGATGCACTGCTTCCACAAAATTAGTAAAAAATGTGTCAATATCACTAACATCATATCTATTTTTAGAATTAGGTTGTTTTATTTTGTCCCAAACACAATTTGGGTGGATGGGACAGTGCTTAAATGCATTGCTAATTAAGAAAATTATTTACTTTTTAACAGAGAACCATTGTATATGCTCTGTATGCCCTAAATCAGTGGTTTCCAACCTTTTTGATCTGCACAAGCCCTAATCAACCACAAAAATATTAATGAACTAGCTAGATTTTGCTAAAATAAAAATTCTGAAATAGAAGCATTCTGAAAATAAAAGCATTATAAATAAAAATGGTTACAGTAACAAATCATATTTGCGTGTCTTAAAGGTTTGTGCAGGTTAAATGTGTTTGTCAAACAGTTAATTGGTGATGGGGCCACCCAACATATTTTTATTTCATTTATTTATTTATTTTGGACCTTTAGCACTTTTTTACTTGTCTATTTGATTATTAAATGTTTTCAATGACTTTTGGACTTCAAGCCTTCTTTTACCAGTTACATGTGTTGTAGGACTGAGAAATGAAGCTGAACAGAAATAAACGTTGACTCTTAATGATGAGAAAAGTAAATATTGCATATAAAATTATATCAAAGTATGAACTATCCTGTGCAATACAGTAAATATTCTTACACTACCCTAAATCAATGAAAAAATGTGCTGTCCCAATCACCCAAACGTTACCAAAAAAATGTTGGGGGCTCAGTTTACAGAAAAGTGTACGTCACGCATCCTTTCATTATAATATAAAAGTTTTTCTTCTTCAAACTGGTAGTTAACATCTTCAGTATTACAGAAACGTATCATGTGTTGGGCTGATGTTTTTTTTAATTATGGCAAGAAACCTTGCACAAGGCGGAAATTCAAAAACTGCCCCAATCACCCTTAATTCACCCTAGCTGAAATTGTTTATTTGAAAAAAAAAAAAATATATATATATATATATACATTATATATATCTATATATCTATATCTATATCTATGTATAGATAGATAGATAGATAGATAGATAGATAGATAGATAGATAGATAGATAGATAGATAGATAGATAGATAGATAGATAGATAGATAAAACATATTAAATTAATTCGCCCTAGCTGAAATTGTTTATTTGAAAAAAAATATCTATCTATCTCTATAGATAGATAGATATAGATAAAATGTATTAATTATTTACTAACTTACATATGTATGCAGCGTATGTATGGGTAGGTGAAAAGTTGTCGTTTTTACTAAATGACAGCAACGTTAAAAGGTTTAATTAGAGATTATATTTGCCTGTATTACAAGTGAAAAGTAGTTTATAAGGCTATAGAATCAGAATCAGAATCAGAATCAGAATCAGAATGAGCTTTATTGCCAGGTATGTTTTCACATACGAGGAATTTGTTTTCATGACAGAAGCTTCCGCAGTGCAACAGAATGACAGTGACAGAACAAAAACACAGATAATAAAGAATAAAAAATAGAACAAGTAAATAAGTAATAACAATATATAAATTGACAATTGTATGTGCAGGTATATTACAATAGACATAGTTTACTAAAGAGGAAAATGTACACTATTGCTAAGTAATGTATATATATTATATATAAATATTATAAGTAATTTATTCATATTAATTCTATTGGTGGTTTGGTTTAAAGTTTGACAGCCAAACTTGTTATTCTTCCAAAATCATAATTTCCTCATAGTAGCCTTACATCTGCTTTATCTATTTTGATTTTATTGTAAATATACACAACACATAGTGATGAAGAGCATCAGTGCTGAGCTTTCTTTCATTAACAGAAGAGATGTATTGATCTGTATGATCTGTATTGTGCAATGTGAGTTAAGTGCACATCAAAACAACTTAAAACAAACATTGGTTGTGTAACTGAAAAGACAGTCCCAGAAATTATCCTCATGGGCGCAAACTCCCACCTCTTCCTGTGCATCTTTCTTGCAAGTTGTTGATTGGAATTTACAAATCATAGACTATAATGATGATTCAACCTGTTTGCAAAAATGCAATGTCGACACAGTCGAATCTGTCCATAAGCAATGATATATTCACAGCCCTATATAAACCACGATATCCTCAAGAAGATTGAGAAGATACGTCGTCTTCTGGACGAGGGCCGGAAACTGTATCGCTCCGCCGATCAAGTGTCCAAAAACACTTACACTTACCTAAGAGAGCGACTGACCTCTAGCGCTGGTAACAATTTGCTTCGATTCAGTCTTTGATTTTTGGAAATTTTGATCATTCATGCCAAGCATGAAGTTCATTTGTGGAAGTTCACAGTCGTATTTTTAGAAGACACTATAGAAAATGTTTCCTCCTTTCTCTCAGGTAATGATAACAGGTACACCACCTTGGCCGAACAGCTGAGACAGAGGATTACTGATATCAAAATTAAAATTGACCGTCAACTCCGGTTACTGGACGCTCTGAAGTCGCAAGTCAAAGATCAAGTTGTTGTAATTCAGCGACTTGAGGTGAGCTAAATATTTATATAAAAATTATTTTAATTTATTAAAATTCAGAAATGTATGATAGCCCTTTCAAAATAAAAAAGGTAATTGTAAGGGAAAGTTGAAAATACTTATATTTAAGCGTTAATTGCATAAGTCAATTGACTGCATGACATAACTTACTATTGAAGCACATTCTCCCAATATTATCTCTTGGCGCAGGTCGACATTGACATCAAACTACGCACATGCAAGGGCTCTTGCGCCAGCTACAGTGAGTTCTCGGTGGACAGGGAGAGCTATGCTGCTCTGGACAAGCAAATGGACCATCTCAACACTTTCCATGTCCAGAGCGTGGAGACCGTTAGTTCTCTGGGAATCATGAAGAGCAGGCCGTTGAAGGACGTGGTGTTACCCTCCATATTTAAAAGCGGAACGGGCAAAGGCGAGCAGAAGCAGCTCCTCTTCGGAGACGTGGGTCAGATGCAGCTTACTCTGGAGGCGGAGGGATCCACTGCCGAATCTGCCGCCACTGTTAGCAAGTTCCCCACATCAGGTACGGGCTCAACTTCTTCCTCTACATCACATACGTCCACCTCCACCTCCACCGTCAAGCAGTGCACCAAATCAGTGCGCAAGGTGGTGACACACACCAAAGACGGTCCCGTGGAGAAGATTGAGGTTTCGACTAGCGGCCCCGGCTGTGAAGATTTAGAAAAAATGGGAATTTCAGATGCAGACTTTTTGACGGCAGCCAAAGAAGGGAAAGATCTGAACCGTGATGGAGTCAGAATAACCGTGAGCAGTGGGAATGAAAAGTCCACTACTTCTCTCACTCATGGCACAGATGGCCTAGGTGACTTCGGTGGAGGTTTCTTCACGGGTCTTGACACTGATAAGCAAAGGTTATCCTCATCTTCATCCTCATCCTCCACGAAAAGAGTCGTGTCAGATGGAAGCAAGAGTTATTCAAAGACCACCCTCTCTAGTGACCCAGGTTTTGGGGATGACCTTGGGGCGTTCATGCGTGGCGACGTGGAAGAGGATCTACCCGACATCCACGCACGAAGCGTGAAATCGCACGACGAGCGCAAGGCTGGCTTTGTTGGTGGAGGTACACTTGAGTGAAACTCTTAACTCAAGCAGCACACACAAGTGAACCATTAGAAAATGTAATTCTATTGATAACAATAGTAAGAGTTTGTTAGATCTTCTTGGAAACATGTGGTGTAATGGACTAAACTAATATCCAAGTAATTTCCAATAACATGTCACATTTAATTGCTCATCCAGAAACAAGTCCACGTAATTAGTTCCGAAATGAATTATATGGATCTCTGGAACGAATGCAGCTTTGCTCTAATCAGCAGGTGTGTAATCTTCTTTCAGATTGCGCTGAAATTCTGCAGAAGCATGCGAATGGCGGTCAGAGCGGCCTGTTCAAAATAAAGCCGGCTGTGTCGGAGGAGATAGTAGAGGTTTACTGTGACCAGGGCACTGGGTTGGGAGGCTGGACTCTGGTTCAGCAGAGGGAGGATGGGTCTGTTAACTTCAATCGCACTTGGAAGGAGTATCGAAATGGTTTTGGCCGGTTAGACCAGCAGGGTAAGGGCGAGATCTGGATCGGCAACAAATTTCTACACCTTCTCACTCAGAAAGAGAGTCTTCTAAGGGTGGAGCTGCAGGACTGGGCCGGGAATGAGGCCTACGCCGAGTACAGCGTTAGAGTTGGCTCGGAGGCCGAGGGCTTTCTGCTGACCGTGTCGGATTACGTGGGGGATACAGGTGATGCATTAGTGCAAGGTCAGCCTAACCTCGGATCCTTCCTTTCACATGCTGGCATGAAGTTTAGCACCTTTGATAGGGACAGCGATAAGTGGGAGGAGAACTGTGCAGAGATGTATGGTGGAGGGTGGTGGTACAATAACTGCCAGTCGGCCAACCTTAATGGGATTTACTATAAAGGAGGCCAGTACGACCCTGGCACCGCAGTCCCTTATGAGATTGAGAATGGTGTTGTGTGGCTGCCTTTCAAACCAGCTGATTACTCCCTCAAAGTGGTGAGAATGAAGATCAGACCTGTCTAAAAATGAAAAGAGGGGATGGGGAAAAGGACAGATAGCCATTGTTTTGAATGATCTGCTTGTCATAATGTGAAGACGTCATGTTGCCATGTATGCTTTCACACAACCAGCTTACCTCATGTTTCCAATAAAAATGTGTTCACTTCAAATTTTGGAGTGTGTGTTTTTATTTCAAAGTATCTGGAAACCGACATCCTACAGCTAATTCATAACCACAAACAAGCACAATGTTCTTTTAAATGTGCTTAGATCATTTTGCTTTCTTTAACTTTTCAATAAATAATGCTTATATTAGTCTGTCTCTGAAAAAAGTACAAAATCATACATTTAGGAGTACAACAGCTTGTTTTACCTTATTTAAGCCCAAAAGGTTCATCATTGTAGCTTAAGAGTACATATCACTAGGCTGAAGTACAAATATGCACCTTTAGAGTAAATAGTATATTGTCCCAATGACAAGCTGTTATACCTCTAAAAGTACAAATTTCACACATTTTCTTTCTGATAGTGTATCCTAAAGATCATATCATCATTTTGACCATTGGTTAATGATAAAAAAAAGGCATTTACTTATCCACTAGGTTCAATATGAAACCATAGTCAAGCTCTACTCGTTTAGATATACAACTCTAGATTGTTTATTTGTTACTTAAGATGATTTCACATCAAGGTTGTGAATAAAAAATGAGCCTACAGCATTACCACTATATATCATTCACAATCATATGATATATAACCCTATCAATATGAATGCAGCTTTCAGCATTTGCCATCTATGAAGCATAAACATTATTATCAAGTTTAATGCAAGTGTGTGGTTTGTTGCAGTGTGTACGGCCTTGAAATCCAGTCTCAAACAACATAATCATTATGGTTACACCAGATTTGGACACTGTCCAGCACGGCCAACATATCCTTTGTGCTCTGATGAGGAGAGGGTGAGTTATTTTGGAGAATCAGATCACTTGTTGTCTTCCAAAAAGTGCTTTTAAATAAACTAGTAAGTAAATTAATAATAAAAAATGCATTCACTGATAAATATAATAATTATAAGTAATATAAGAAAAGATAATGATTAATTCTAGCACAGAAAAGTAAATAAATTATTAAACTTATTCCGCAGTTGTTGGAATCAATTGTTACTGGAAGTTTTTTCAGGGTTTTTTTCTTTGTAGGAGGATAAATGTCCATCTGGGTGTCATCTGGAGGGTCTTATTAATCTTGCAGATGAAGACATTCGGAAACGTCTGAGAAATATTTGTGAAAGGATTCAAGAAAATCAGGACGTCACTTCATCTATAATGCAAAAGAGTGTGCAGTTTTATGGCTCACAAAGAAAAGCTATCATCCAGACATATAGTATGTCAAACGTTATGGTTCATTATTTTATGAGATTTTCTCTATTCATGTGTTTTATAAACAAGGTAAAAATGTAAAGATACCTGAAGCATTTAGAATCCTTAGAAGAACCTCTCCTTTAGGGTTCCTAGGGTTTCACCAGTGTGGCGAACAGTTATGTTATTTACAATATTCATTTCAAGAACCTAATTTTACCTTCATAAATTATTATTACATTAATAGGAACAAAAGGCTTTTAGATGAACTACATGAGGTGGCCTCATGGTATTTTCTCTGTGCAGTGCAGGAGAGCAGATATGCTAAGTTTGCTGAAGACCTTCACAGAAACTTAACATTGCTACACAAGAGGTCTGCAGAACTTGCAAAAGACTTACAGAAGCATCATCACTTGATCTGGGATCAGATAAATGAAATTCGTCGAATTGAGGTAAGCGAAATCGATGCACGTGTCAGAATACTTTTTATTATTGGTTCTTAACCTTCTTCAAAGTCAGTATTCGAAGCCCCCTAAATAGCATGAATAAATATCTCTGAAAACTGTATTTTATACCTCAGTAGAAGTTTATTAAAGCCCCTTGGTTGAGAACCTGCTGTTTATTTTATTGACTGGAAAGTCAGTAATTTCAGGCACACATAATCAATATATTTGATCAGATGTTCTGCCAAAACGTTTGAGTCAGGGATTTCATTATTTGCTTGAAGTTGAAATGTAACTTTTGTCCTGATTCAGACTTGTTTTTGTTTAATTTTTGGAGTGAAGGTGGACATTGACATCAAAATCCGTGCGTGCAAAGGATCATGCAAGCAAACCTTTGACCATGCCGTTGATAACGAAGCCTTCAAAGCTATGGAGAACAAAATGCAGCAGTTCAGCACTATCTCAAAGAGGCGAAAATCATTCTCCAAAAACAAAACACTAAAACTTCAGTCTGTTGATCGGCCTAGTGTGTCCCCCTCTTACCGGAAAATTCCCATTGTTCGCACTGAGCTGCTTACAAAGTTTGAAGACATTGAGCAGCATCAGATGATTTTAGAACTCCTAGAAGATATTTAATCAGATTTATGCCTAGATTAGTAATATGTGGGATTATTTCGTCTGACATTGTGTATGGTTTAGTAATACATATATAATAATAGTAATATACTGACAAATACTGTACTTATTTCTTTTGATTTTGTTATCTATTTACTACATATTTATTTGACAACTGTGCCATTTATTTTTCCAATATCATGTTTACAGTTTCAGTTTCTCTTTCTTTCTTTTTTTACAGTAGTCTATACATCTAACTTATGTGCAGTATTCCATGTACAGTGTTAGAAGATACAAATATCACTATTTTTATACCAGTATAAAATGAGAAAAAATTATCTACTATGGCTCTGCCTTAGTTGCAATGCAGACGCAAGTTCAGGGGGCAGTCGTGGCCTAATGGATAGAGTCAGACTTATAACCCGAAGGTCGTGGGTTCGAGTCTCAGGTCCGGCAGGGATTGTAGGTGGGGGGAGTGAATATCCAGCGGTCTCTCCACCTTCAATACCACGACTGAAGTGAGACCCTTGAGCAAGTCACCCCTGGCGCCGCAGCATTGGCTGAACACTGCTCCGGGTGTGTGTGTGTCTGTGTGCGTGCGTGTACTCACTGCTGTGTGTGTGCACTTGGATGGGTTAAATGCAGAGCACAAATTCCAAGTATGGGACACCATACTTGACCACACGTCACGTCCTATCCTTTTCCTTCCAAATGTGTATAAGAGACTGTACAAAATAACATTTCACACACAAGCATCAGTCTGTCAAACACAATGTATTAAATACCTCAATAAAATAACTCAAAAACTGTGAAAACTTTTACATTTTTGTAAAACTATGTAGTGAGTGTCAAATAAATATGAATCTGAATTTTGGAATGAATATGAATATTTTTATTTATGTTTAGGTGTATCTTTGGCTACTGTCATGGGATGATTTGAACGATTTTGCAGTTTTTTTTATTGCTTGTTTTTTTATGTTTTATGGGTTTTTTCTTTTAGTTAAAAACCGCATTGTTTCCACCACAACAAACTATTTTGTCCTCAATAATGTTTTTTTTTTGTTTTGTTTTGTTAGTATACTTGTTCAACAAGAAAAATCAAGGTAAATATCACCTGTGAGCAGAATTTTTTTAATGGTGTCAATTCCAACCAAGATATAATTTTGTCAAATTAAATTATATAATGGTCTCTGTTTAGGATACATACAATGCTAGCTACAAAAGTCCTTATAAAAATGCCTTATCAACATAAATTAATTTTATTTATTTTTACAAATGTCATTTCCATGGAAAATGGAAACAGTCTGTGGTGAAAATTTTCATGACAAAGATGACAGAATTCTTCTGTGATCCATGTATATAAACTTGTGAGAGATGGGAAAAGTGTTTTAAGAAAGTTTATTTACTAGAAGTTGACAAAGTCAAACACAATCATGACGACCCAAAAAATGCTAAAATGCTCTAAAATAAGAAAACATTACATAAATACAAAGACACATAATTTTTTATAGGTCAGCTTTAATGAGAATTAGGCAGATTGTGTTACATTCCTTACAATCCTTGTTGCAGTCCTTGTGTTACATCTTGTTTTACATTTTATCCTTATGTTTTTTTAATACATTTTCAATAACACAGTCTCAAACTTTTCAAGTTAATTCACTCTTTTTTTATGCATGTATGAACTGTGTCTCTTGAAATGTTTAGGTTCAGGTTTTATTATCCTCCTATTCTCAAAAAAGCCTAAATGAAATGAATGCTATTGAATGGGAATGTGCTCAAGAATGGACACATCTACTGCATCTCATTTCAATTTACTTGAAGTTTTATTTTTGTTTGAAGAAAGGTCTGATCTTCATGCTGATAGATTTGAGCGAATACCATGAGCCCTTCCAGTTCATCCACACAATGCCATCATCTGTCCCATGCTTGGCCATATATTTTGTATAAGATCCTCCCCAGTAGTATCGCCCATTAGGATTACAAGAGTGGCATCGGTTGTACCACCATCCTCCTCCATCTTCTTTTGAACACTGCTTAGAAGGATCTCCAGGTATCCTGTTTGAGATGCAGACAATTGGAAAGAGAAAGAACATATTAGATACTGCACAACTCATCCATGCAGTTTTCAATTTGGCCACCATTAGGACAGACTCTTAGGACCATACGCACCATTTGTCATTATCTCTGTCGTAGGTGCTGAACATCATGCCGTTATGAATGGTCATGGTACGGTTCTCTCCAAACAGTTCTGTTGCACCATTCAGGAATGTGTTCCCAGCTGTTCCTGAGTAACGACCAACTGCTAGGATGTAGTTGGTGGCTTCGCCCTGCACAGTGAACTGCTCATACTGAGCGTAGACCTTTGAACCGGACCAGTCTTCCATTTCAACCAGAAGCTCAGAGGGACCCATCTTTGTAAGCTGACTAGTACGGTCATTACCCAACCAGTACTCGCCTAAAACAGTCCACAACAAGTACATTAGAGAATGAGATGATATGAAGAGTCAGTAAATGTGACTTAGAGAACCCTGCTGAAAAGACTGGATTATGCTGGTTTGGTTCTAATGGGCTTTTATATATATGCTGTTCACCAGTTTTTTTGGTAATACTGGGTTGACCATGGAAGCTTGTTGGTTTAGCTGGTTAAGAAGCCAGGTTGAGGAAATCAGCACACCAGCATCCAAAACACAACATATATTTGTCTTTTCTGCAGGGTTTAACTACATCATTAGCACTGCTAGGCTACATTTG